GTTTCCAAAAATTATGCATGCTTTTATTGAGCAACTTTGTGTGGATAACAGTTTAGTAAAGGCTACTGATTAACATAGATACCATCTGTTTGAAAATAATACTCATTTAACATAATATCTAGGAATTCTTATTCTGTACTTTTCCATAATTATTTTTCCATAGTTTGCAATATTGTGGTGACTTATTTTACAGAAGCCAATATCAAGAAGGTGACATTAGCATAAATTTCCACGTATATTTTCTTGAGTTCTTTACACATAGCTTGAATTTTGTTTAGTAATTTTTGAGCACTTAATAGATGCAAGGCACTGTTCTAGATGTTATGTGAAATTAGAAGATTAATAACATAGTATTCCTGCCTTCAGAGAGCTTACTAATAGGGCAAACAGGACATGTATACAAATACCTGTTTAAAAGGCTGCACAAAATTTATCTTAAAGGTAATACAAATGAAGTATCAGGAATTGAGTGATACAAGTTCAGATGGGAGGGGAAGAGAACTAGTGATAGGCTTAATTAAGGTGGTCCTTCAGTTGAACCTAAGAACATACTAAAATGTTATTAGTATAATTAAATATGACATAAAAGGCATAATTCATGAATTCTGCTTTTCAGCATTTCAAGTCTTCTATATAACATCAATTTAAAGTTATTTGAGGGGAAGAGGGAAGGAAAGAATAGAAATTTTTAATTGAAATATTTTTTAAGTTCTTACTTTTATTTCCCTTTAAAAAGTAATTTATGAATTGAGACCTTTTTGAAATAGTTAGATTTGCTAACCAGGTTCCCTCCAACTATCTTTGGGAATTCCAGCTTTATGATCACTTGTAATCTGATATTTATTATAGCTATCTTGTTTAGGAAGTTCTAGATTTAAATGGTTAGTAGCAAATAATTAGAAAATACAGTGCTGATCTTATGCTCTTTATGTTTTAAAAAACATACAATGTTCTTTATTTTTGGCTGCTTTTTAGACTTTGTCTATGATAATATTGTCAAAAATATTTACAGATTTCAAGAAAGGATGACATTCCCAGGTACCAAAACACTTCTTAGATTAAGATGATTTTTAAAAAATATTTTGCATTTTAAAACTAAACATTTTTCTTCCTTTATATTGCACATATATGCTAAAAGTTTCCTTTTGATCCTGAATAAATAACTGTGGGTAAAGAAGAAATCCAGTGAATAATTGTAATAATCAGTGATATAAGTGAGTCGGTAATTACAAAGCCCTCTGTTGTATTCAGGTCACTTGGCCCAGAAAGCAAAGTACACTGGAAAGAGCACTAGCTTTACAGTCAGTTCATTTCCTGTCTTTGAAGCTTACTGCAGTGTGACCTTGAGAGAATCACGTAAGGTCCCTTGTGCCTCAGCTTCCTCATCTGTAAAAAGAAAGGATTGGATTAGAGAGTCTTCAAGATCCCTTCCACCTCTAGCTCAGTGAACTGGATCATTACATCTTTGGGTATGGAAAAGACCTGGCAGATGTGATTAATGAACCAGTCATTGATATTTCAAAGATCATGGTCCAAAAGGGGAGAAATTCTACGGAACTGAAGAAATGTATATGTTTTCTTGATTCTCGGAAAAGGGAAAAGAAGGGAATCTGCAAATTTATAGGCCACTGAGCTTGATTTGGGTTACTGGCCAAATTTAAGAAAGAATGATTGAAGATCTACCCCCAAGGAAGTCATTGATAAAAAGAAAAAATATTTATAGCCATACTCTTTTTGGTGACTAAAAGAAAAAGTAAAGAAAAGGTGCCCATTGATTGGAGAATAGCTGAGCAACTTGTAGTACCTCAGTGTAATGGAATATACTACATGGTAAGAAATGGCAAATAAATACAGAAAAACATAGGAAGACTTATTTGAACTGATGCACAATGAAATTAGCAGAGCCAAGAAAACATTGCATATGATTACAGCAGTGTAAATAGAAAGGACAACAACAGTAAAAGAATCTAAAATGAAAGATGCAGAATTACAAAGAACAAGCATGCCTTCAAAGAGAGCTATGACAGTTCCAGTCTTTTGCAGAGGTGGCAGGTGGATTTTTTAAAATGTATTCTTAAGTTTTACAGAATTTTTCTTTATTTTAAAAAATTCTTTGTTATATGGGTGGCTCTCAAAGTGGAGAGGCATGAAAGGTGATACAAGGGGAAATTTAGGAAATGTAAAAACAAAAGATAAAATTTATTTATTAAAAATAATTGTTGATAAGATGGTTAGCAAACATCCAGATAAGTAAATTATGGTTGCAGACCTACATGACTTCATCAAGAACAGATCATACAAGCTACTTTCATTTTTTTTTGTTGGCAGTTATCAAACTAGTAGAGCAGAAGAATGCTGTACATATACTTTACCTAGATTTTAGTAAAGCCCTTGTTAAAATAATCTCATGCTGGAAAATGTGAAGAGATGTTGGCTAGATGACGATACAACTAGATGAATTCTGAACTGAGTAAATGACTAGATTAAAAGAGTAATTATTAATGGTTCCTTGTCAACTTGGAGATCTTAACTGTAGTGTTCCAGGTATCTGTGTTTGGTTGGGTCCTGTTTAATGTTTGTCACTTATTAAGATAAAGACATAAATACCATGTTTAGCAGATTTGCAGGTGACTCAGACCTAGGAGGGGTAGGGGACACATTAGATGGCACTCAGCATCCAAATCTAGACAAGATGAAAAAAATTAGGTTTACTCTAATAAGATGGAATTTAACTGGGATAAGCACATAGCTTTACACTTGGGTTCCATAAAAGTTGGGGCGGGGGGCAGCATAGCTAGATAGCAGATCACCTGAAGAAGATACAGGGGTTTTAGTGGACTGCAAGTTCAATTTGAATTAACAGTATGATATAGCAGCCAGAAAAAATCTAATGCAAACTTAGACAGCATTAAGAAAGATAGCTCTGCTAGGAATAGAGATGTAACAGTTTTGCTATACTTTCTTCCAGTTGAACCATATCTGGCCACCACATTATTTTTGAATGCTTTTTTTATTCACTTAAATCAACAAGCACAAACATGCCAGTATACAAAACATAAAAAAGGATTGTCTGTGAAGTTGAATTCATGTTATGCTGTGTTTTTTAAAAGTATACATTAGTCTTATAGCGTTATGGTTTATCATTACATTGATCAAAATTTATTTCCTTTACAATATTGTCACATAAATTATTCTAGTTACACCCATTCACTCCATATCATTTCATAAAGGTTCCTCTGAAACATTCATTGTCATGTCTTATGGCATAATGGTATTTCCTTACTAATTTCCTCCTAATATCTCGTAATTTGTTAGCCATTCCCCAAAAGGTGGGTACCCCCTCAGTTTCCAGTTTTTCAGAGCTGTTATAAGTATTTTTGTACATATGGGTCCTTTTCCTCTTTCTTTGACCTACAGGTTATAGGCCTAAAAGTAGTATTTCAAGGTCACGGGGCATGGACAGTTCAGTGACCTCCAAATTGCTTTCCAGAGGGACGGGACTAATTCACAATTCTATCAGCACTTCATTAGTGTGCTTGCTTTCCTTCAGGTCCTCCAATATTTGTCTTTTTCCTATTTGTCGTTTTGCCAATCTTATGGATAAGTGGAGCCTCACTGTTGCTTTAATTTGCATTTCTCAAGAAATTTTAAGAATTTAAAGCACTTTCTCTTACGATTCTTGATAACTTGGATCACTTATGTTTGAACACTGCCTGTTTATTTGCTTTAACTATTTATTTATCTATTGGAAAATGGCTCTTAAAAATTTGAATTAATTCTCTATCTTGCATATGAGACCTTTATCAGAGAAATTTGCTGCAAAATTATTTTTTCCCCAGTTAACTTTTTCCTCTAATTTTAGCTGAGTTGGTTTTGTTTATGCAGAAGCTTTTTTATTTTATGTAATCAAAATTGACCGTGTTATCTTCTGTGATCCTTTCTATCCTTGGTTTGGTTATGAACTCTTCTATCTGTAGATCTGAGAAGTAGTATCTTCCTTGCTCATATAATTTGTTAATGATGGCACTTTTATGTTTTAACATTTTTTATAATTTTAATGGTATACTAATTCAATTATGTATATCAAAATTTGTTCAGCTATTCCCAGTTTATGGACACCCACTTTATTTCTAGTTCTTGACCACTATAGATACTGTTACAAGTGTTTTTTGTACATATAAATCTTTTCCCTAATTTCTAACTCCTTGGGGTATATGTCTAAGTAGTGATGATATTGCTGGGTCGGAGGGTATTGGAGCTTAATGACTTTGGGGATATAGTTCTAAATTTATGTGTACCACATTTTAGGAAGAACTTTAACATGAGGTATAAAGTTTCTAGAGTGAGGCAGCCAAGTTGGTGAAGGACTTTGATTCTGTGGCATGTGATCTGTTCAAGGAGCTGGGTATAGTTATACTAGAGAAAAGAAGGCTTAGGTGGAACATGATAATTTTAAGTTTTTGAGAGATTATTAAATGGTAGAGGGTTACACTTGTTCTCCTTGGCTCTGAAGGACTAGGAGAATGGAAGGAAGTTGCAAAGAGGCAACTTCTTACATCAGACCTGGCTTGATGTAAGAAATGAATCCTAACAATGAGAACTATTCAAAAGTGGAATGGGCTACTTTAGAAGGTAGGGGTTCCCTTCCTACCCACTCCCCACTTCCATGGGAGGCCTTCAGTCAAAGACTGGATGACTTTTGTCGACTGTCTTGTAGTAGAAGTTGTTTTTAGAGTCTAGATTAAACTGGCCCCTGAGGTCCCTTCTAAATCTAAAAGCTCTGAAATTCTGTCTTACTGATTTCCTCTTTAAAGTCTGTGGGATTTTTTGTAAGCATTGAAGCTAAAGGATATGACCTATTGAATGCCCAATTATATTTTAAACATAGTCATAGTAATTATGGTCATTTTATAATTGATAATTTTGGTATGATTGTTATTGTAATAATATTTTATTAATAATAATTATGATAAACTGATAATTTGATTATGTCTTCATAGAGCATCCTTTATGACCAAGACTGTCCAATATCAGAATGAGCTACATAAATTCTTGATTTGGGATACAGCTGGACAAGAACGAGTACGTATGTGTGTGTGTGTAATTTTTTGTATAAGTTTTTTCAAAGCTTGAATTAAAGATCAAACTATATTCTGAATGTTATGGACATTTTTGTGTTGGCCTAAGTCTTCACCCTATACTAGAGATTGCTTTATTCTTATTTGGGTACAATAGTCTTTTTCTACTCGGAGCTCTTAAATCCACTGTGTTGATGGTTATTTAATATTTTAACTTTATAGAAAATGCTGACCAGCATAGATGACAACACCATTTGGAGCATTATGTATAATCTGGTATTCTGTTCTTCAGGAAGTCAATTATTAAGCAATTACTAAGTGCCAGGCACTAGGAGCAGAAATACAAGTAGAAAGAAAGACAGACCCTGCCCTCCAGGAGCTGTCATTCTAATGGGAGAAGAAAACACATAAAAGGAAACTAAGTGGGGAGCGGGGTGTTATTGTAGGATGAAGGTACCCAGCACAGGAGAATGGTAAAAAAAGTCAGGAGTCAAGAAGACAGCTTGAAGAGGAATGAAGACATGGAAGGATATAAGTGAATTAGGGATGGAAAAGAAGCCAGACATATCATTTGTGACAGCTTTTTAAAATACAATACTTAAGAGAGAACTTTACAGAAAATAAAACCTCCAACTTAAATTTAAAATCGATATAATATAACATTATGTACTGAGCTTTTCATAAACGATAAAAATTAACCAAAAAAATTAGTGACTTAAGCATAAATGAAAAATGGTACCATGCTCAGAAAGTAGAGCGTATAGTAGTAAAGTGAAAGGTTAAAGAAGACTTCAGCAGTATTGACTAAGTTTACCCTCCTTTTCTTCCTTCAAGTAACTTTCTGTATCAAATAGAAAAAAATTTTTTGGAGAAGAAACGGATTCTCAGAATTTCCATTTTCTTTTCATTTCCCTTTAGAAGTGCATTTGATGCATGTTATAAGTTGTGGGTTTGTTTTATCTTATTTTGACCTTATGATGATAGTGTTGGAACTGACATTTAAAGGATTATTGAAAAAATATGTTTATTCGTGATATTGAGCTCATTTACATGTTTTAGCTTAAATAGATTTAGTTTGGGACATGTCTAATTCATATAAAACAGTGTATTCTGAATTATTTCTTAAGAGTTAATATTGCATTAAAATTGTTTTCATTGAGAGTTGTCAGTGAAATAATTTACTTTCAAAGTATAATTTGACCTTCTTTGTTTGGATTATGACAGAGAGTCCTATTTGTGTAAGGGCAGATTGAATTTTACCTAGTGAAATTCACTGTCATAATTATGCTCATAATTCATAGTGCTAAAACAGCTTTCCGTGTTTTTTCTCCATACAGTTTCGTGCCTTAGCACCAATGTACTACCGAGGCTCAGCAGCAGCTATAATCGTTTATGACATCACAAAAGAAGTAAGAGTATAGGCATGCTCAGCATAAAGTTCCCCTGAGCTGTGTTGTTTTGCAGGAGTGCTATTGGTATATTATAAGCAAATTTCACCTTAAAGTTATAGAATCTTGCTGTAATATCATTGACGGGTTTTCCATTTGTAATATTTATGCTGTTGTTTCTGTGGAACTAACTAACTGCCCTTGGAATGTGGTTTCACCTAATGTCATGTTTTCATGGAACTAAATAAAAATGTTAGGTAATTGATGCCTGTACAAGAGGTTCTCTTTGAATTTTTGAATAATTATATTTGTTGCTGCTGTTTTTGATGCTTTTTTCCTTTTCAATAGGAAACATTTTCAACATTAAAGAATTGGGTGAAAGAGCTTCGACAGCATGGGCCACCTAATATTGTTGTTGCTATTGCAGGAAATAAGTGTGACCTTATTGACGTACGGTAAGTTACATGATGAAAATTTAATTGCAAAATAAATTGTATTTTATTAGCAAGGAATTCCCATGTGGGAATTTTTATTTTATTTTGTTCTATTTTTTATACTTACATAGCTGGAATCCTGAATTCCTTTTTTTTTTTTTTTAGTGAGGTAGTTGGGGGTAAGTGACTTGCCCAGAGTCACACAGCTAGTGAATGTTATGTGTCTCAGGCCAGATTTGAACTCAAGTCCTCCTGACTCTAGGGCCGGTGCTCTATCCACTGCACCACCTAGCTGCCCTTTCCTTTATTTTTTCCCCTCCAAATTACATGTAAAAACACTTTAGCACTCGAGTTTTTTAAGTTTTGAGTTCCAAATCCTATCCTTCTCTCTCCCTCCCTGAGAGAGTAAACATTCTAATATAGGTTATACATGTGCAGTCATGTAAAACATTTCCATAGTAGTCATTTTGTAGAAGAAAACTCAAAAAAAGAAAGAGAAAGGAAGCAAGCAGGGAAGGAAAAGAAACAAAGAAAGAAAGCATGCATACTTCACTCTGTATTCAGACATCATCTATTCTTTCTCTGGAGGCAGATAGCATTTTTCATCATGAGTCTTCCTGAAATCCTTTAAATAAAATTATTTTCAAAAATATGAAAATACAGAAATGAGTCAGCATAGTTCGTTTAAAACCTGATTAAATAGGGGTGATACTGGTCTGGAGTTAATATAGTTCTCCAATTTTAAAGCTAAAAGGGACCCTAAAGATCATCTAGCCCAGCCCTCTCATCTTTACATATGAGGAAACAGACTCAGAAGGATTAATTTACTTGCCCACAGTAAGATAGCTATTTAGTGACAGGTGTTATATTCCCAGGAGACTTGCATTGATAGAGAAAATGGATATTAATCTCCTTTTTTAAGTAAAACACGCATCTATAAACTATCTCATAGTTTCATTTATGGCTAGAAATCATCTAGTCACAGAATCTGAAGGCTCAAAAGACCTTTTGGGACCCTCTAGTCCAAGCCACGTCAGACCAGAGTCTGATGCACAGCTTCCCTTCCAAATGGTCCTGCAGTCTTTTCTTGAAGATCTGTGGAAAGGATTAGAACCTCTTGTTAACTGCCACAGGCCACTCCTTTTCAAAATAATTGTTAGGAATTTTTTTTCCTTATGTCGAGCCTAATTTTGCTTCTACAACTCTGAATTTCTGGTTATAACCTCTGAGGCCAATCAGAGTAAGTCTAATCCTGTTTCACATAATAGCCTCTCACATAGTTGATAACAGCTATCATTTCTCCCTTGATTGTTCTCTTGATCAGGCTAAATAGGTGCAGTTTTTTTAGTCCTCTCATTTTATAGAAACCTGAGGCCCAAAAGTTTGTCATTCATCCAACTTTGTTAATAACTCCCATGCTTCCTATTTGGGAAACAAACTGCCATTTTTGGTCCTTAGTTGTTAAGTAAATTACTAGTATTACAAAAATAAATTTGTAAAAGCGATACAGTTCAAGAGGACCAAATATTAAGGGAGTAACCACAATCAGTCATCAGTCTTCGTAATGCATTTTGTAGCCATAAATCTTGTTAATTACTGGGTGAAGAGCACTTTTATAATATTAGTCATTAAAATTTGTCTCATTTATAATTATTTTTCAGGGAAGTCATGGAAAGAGATGCTAAAGACTATGCTGATTCCATCCATGCAATTTTTGTAGAGACCAGCGCTAAAAATGCGATAAACATAAATGAACTCTTTATAGAAATTAGTAAGTCCTCTTGTACTCAATGTGTATGTTTGCAAATAAGCTTATCTATCTTGTTAGTTTGAAGTTATCACTTTGATAAGAAAATTCTGTTTTCTTGTCCTCCCAAATCTAGAACTATAAGCTTAGCTGCTTTCTGTCTTTCATTTTTTTTATTGCTGGAGCGATTCTAAAGCTCTAGATCAGTGGTGTCAAATTCAAATAGAAATAGATCTATGCAGGCTGCATATTGAGTTAGAAAACCACAAACTAACATTATCTGTGTTTTGGGGTTTTTTTATTCTGTTAAATATTTCCCAATTTTATTTTAAACTGGTTCTGGCTTCATCTGGGAATGTGGTTCACAGTCCACCTCTACTCTATTAGACATCACAGCTCTAGAGGGGTTGTGTGTGTGTGTGTGTGTGTGTGTGTGTGTGTACACCCATTTACAGAAAAATGGACTTTAATTTTATTGCCATAGAGAACTTCCTGTAATGAAAATCCCTCTATCAGTGCAGATTTGGCACATTATTGTACAGCTTATACCTCTAAATACTTAACAGGGTTGGGGAAGGGTATCACTGAGCAATAAAATGATTTATCCAGTCTCAGTCTACTCAGTTGAGCTTACTGTCACATCACATGAGCTGTCATCTTTCCATATTTATCACTGTGAACATCTTGCAATTAATTATCCAAGGTCATTGAAAGTGCATAAGCAAAGTTAAAAAGAAATTGAGGTATCCACATTCAGAAAACTCATTTTATAAAAATCCAAACTTACAGGCTGAATAATTTTAAAATGATTCCCTACCACCAATGACAATAATGTTTATGTTAGATAACAGTGGTTTGGTATCTTCAAAAGACATTGCTAAATGGGATTCAACATTTCATAGAATATACCTCTCCTAAATATCATAAGCTTTATAACTGTTACTCTTACATGGATACCAAGGAGAAAACTCTTGTTGCAGGATGTTTTGGAGGAATATTATGGAATTCTGCTAAATGTTCAGAATTTAAAGTTTGCCCAGTAGTTTAAAAAGTAAATTGTTATGCTTTCTTCAATCAAGAGTTGTTAACTAATATATTTTGAATATGCTGTGAGATGTGATTGATACGTTGCTGATTTTCCTAAACTGGTGGGGTTTTTTTGTTTTTTGGTCATAAGAATAAGGGCAGATAGATGGAGGATGAAAAATGAGAAGTCAAAGCAAAAAGTATCAATAAAACTTTTTTTATTAAAGAAAGTTAATGTATAAATTCAGAAAAGTAATCTTAAGTGTCACAGTGAGCTGAAATATGTAGTATTGTTATTTTGCCACTGATGAATGACATTTATTTGTGCTTTTTTGGTGTAAATTGCTTTACATACATTATTACATTTGATCCTTGGAGCAGCCCTGTAGGGTAGATTGTGCAGATAATTTTCCCATTTTACAGATAAGAAAGGATTTAAAGGTTAAATAACATATCCAAGGCTATCCAACTTAGAAGTGGAAGAGCTTGGACTGGAACTCAGGTTTTCTGATTGTAAATAACACAATAGCCTTGACATTGGTATTTGATGATTACTACTTTACAATGTGTTCTTTGAAAATACCCAACTTGAAGTTTTCCAAAATATGAATAGTTTCTCCCTAATATTCCAAAGTTATTTCACTTTGGTCTTCTTCTGCCTATAATTATCATTTTTGCATAAAATGAAGTTTATGTTTTAAGAACTAGCAAAAGAGAAAACTCTTAGACTGTATTTTTGTAGGTGGTGATTGGTAACTTACACAAGGCTGAATTGAACATTTAAAATCATCTGATTTCCTTGTCGTGGCTGCTTTTGCTGTAGGTAGAAGAATTCCGTCAACAGATACTAATCCCTCATCTAGTGGTAAAGGCTTCAAATTAAGAAGACAGCCTTCAGAGCCAAAGCGAAGCTGTTGTTGACTGATATGCAGCAACTCAGACTTAATTATAAAGTAGGTGGTCCTGAAAGTTAATGGGGGTGTTTTGAGTATATATGTTTTGACTTTTCACCTGAGTGATCATCGTACACAGAGAGCCTACAGAAATCAACGGGTTTGTTTCTAGTATCGTTGACTTCCTGAAGACTGCAGTTGTGAAATTTCAGTCTGTTTACTTCTATTATGTAAAGAATTTCTTGTAGTCAAAGAGAATACATATTTGAAATTTTGACTTTACTGAAGAGGAATGTGTAATTGTATGGATAGTAGCATTAAAATGTTTAATAGTTTTGTAATCAAGATTTTATGTCATGTTTTGTAAAGGGAAAATGAGCACTTTTGTGGTTCTTGAAAAAAATAAGCCTTGTAGAAATTGTAATTTTGAGACTTAGATTACTTTTCTTTCCATTATCATTGCTATAGTGAGCTGTACCATTTAAAATTTGAGTGCATAGCCGTAGTGAAAGGAGGATAATTGTTACTTTGTATTCAAAATAAGTTATTTATAAAACTGATGGAAAGGATCTCATCCCCTACCATCCCTGAAGCACTTTTCATTGAAGGTATTAGCCATGGATGGATACATGCAATGAATTAAAAACATTAAATAATCCTTTCTTTTTTTTTTTTTACTATAATTTATGTTTAGGCAGATGCATCATTGGCACCTTTTTAAATAAGCTGTCATGATCAAGATTGTGGTAGTAGATAACATAGGTAAACACAGCAAACTGAAAATGTTTTGAACTGACTGGCAATAAAAAAAAAGCAGTAGCATAAATGCTGTCAATGTTTTTATTTAACCCAAATATTTTGGGGGGAAATAATTATTTTTTGGTTTAGCACATGTAAAGTTTTCTACTATATTTATGAGACCCATACTTAAAGCATTATAAACTCTGTAAATACAATAGAAAATTCAGTTTTTCATTCAGTATCCCATTTAGTCTTACATTGAGGCGTATGTATACTCATCCATTCAAGTTTTCTTTGAGGAAACAGTGTACTTTTTGAAGCACATTTGTGATATTGTTTTGAGAAGAGTAAATAGCATTTGAATTGAAAATACTACAAGATTTTACCTACTGGCCCCATTGCACTGTGGATAAACATATTAGGTTACATACTACCTTGACAGCATCCACTCTAACCCTACTTGGAGCAAGAGAAAGGGAGTGCAAAGCCTAAGTCATTTACTTGATGTCTGTAATAATTAATTACTCTTTAGCCTCAGGGCAAATTTAAAGCCAGTTTTTTTTGGGGGGGGGAGGGTTGTTTTGTTTTTTAACACATCTTTAATTTTAGCAGTTCCTCTTAGGCGTTTGTATCCTTTTATTTTTGTCTGTTCATGCTAACGGTAACCATCTCTTCCACTTGGGGAAACGAGTTTTTCACATAACTTAAAAATAAAGCATTTATGCCATCTAGAAAAATGTATTCATTGTCTAATTTGGCATTCCACCTTTAGTTTTTTAACTAAAGGGAATTTTCAAGATTAAGGAATGAAGCAAGTAGAACTATAAACTAAATTGTGAAATCAGAACTACCCTTATATTGAACAACAAATTAATTGTGTTATGTACACACATGGTGTGTATGGATTCTAATGGAAAGTTATTTCGAACATTATAAACATTTTAAGCTCTTTTTGACTTTGGGACATATAATATCAGAATGAAGCAACGCAATGAAAGCTCTGACAGTATTATTATAAAAAAATTTTTTAGCTACCTAATTTTTTTTGTCATTAGTTAACTTGGAAGGAAAATGTACAAGCTCCTGTCTTAAATTTCGGGAGAAATTGGAACCTGACATTAACTTTACATACACTCTTATGTACTTCAGCTGCTCTATTCATAGTATTTCTATTGCTTTGCCATGCCCTTACTTACAAAATAGCAAAATACAAAAGTTGTGCTTGGAAGTTGCTTGATTGCTAAATAGACAATGAATGCCTTTTGACCCCAAATAAATCAGCTGAATTTCATGCTGCTGTTCTGGTTTAGTGTCCAGTTGATGTTAAGGCACTTCATTGTTTATAGTAATATTGTAGCACTTAATGTTATATCTTAACACAAGTAAATCCCTTTGGCCATTAGCAAACCACTTCTATTTTTGCTGTCTGCTGCGTCCATACCATATGTAAAAATACATATATTCCCATGTTTTATCAGAATGAATGGCTTCAAGTTTATGCATCCATAACTTTTCCATATGCATTTCAGGGATCTCTCTCTCTCTTTCTCTCTCTCTCGGCTAGGCAGTGGGATTAAGTGACTTGCCCAGGGTCACACAGCTAGTAAGTGTTATGTGTCTGAGACTGGATATGAACTCAGGTCCTCCTGAATTCAGGGCCGGTGCTCTATCCACTGCCCCACCTAGCTTCCCCCTCTTTCTCTCTTTACCCTTCTTCCTATCACACGTCTGTCCAGGAAATTGGCATAATACAGCATTTGCTGCTCCAAAACACCATGAAAGGAAATAGGAATGGAGCCTCAAATATTCTACAACTGCTATCCACTGAAGGTAAAATTATGATGTCCCGTATTTCTAATGCCTTTCTGACAGGTAAAGATGATACCAAACTTTGTGGGGAGTATTTTATTTTACACATTTTTAAATGGTTACAAATCAAACCACAAATGATTTGTGCTGCCTGTTTTGCATAGTTTTATATATTGTTACAATTCACTATGTTCAAACATAGTGAAAGGAGCTTGGCATAATAGATTGAGAGTTGTGATGACCTGGGTTTAATTCTCATCTCTAATACATCCATACTGGCTATTGGATCCTAGGAGAGTTCCTCAGCCTCTCAGTGCCCTGGGCAACTTTCTAAAATGATGAGTTGTAAAGAAGGTTCCATTCTGTAATTGGGACAGGGAGGGAGTCTCTCATTCAGAGTATCCTACCTACACTAATGATATCATAGATTAGGTATAAAAAATAAATGAAAGAAACAGCATCATACAATTGCCTATTTCAGCCTTCTATAGAATTCCTTTTAACTTTCATCTAATGACAGGGAATTGGAAAGGTTTTGAAGATTTTTTTTTAATTATTTGCTCTAAATTTATGTTTGCTCCTTTTAAAAAAGTTGAATTGTATTTTGACTGCCTAACCCTAGAAACAACTAGTCTCTAGAACTTTTAAATGCTTTTTGATTTACAAATATCAATTTAGTTAGTGATAATTACAACATAATTGTAACTGGTCATGATTTTTAGAAATGATTTTCAATTTGGGGGTAGAGGGCTCTGTTGAGGAGAGATTAGGACTTATTCCGCAGTCTGAATTCCTAACCTATCCAGGGGAATTTTGCTATTAACTTACATTATAACAGAAAATGATAATTAAAGTTCAGATTTTTTTAATGTACTTTTTGAGTAAGTTGAGAGTTTGTTTTTGAAATGCCAATATCTGACTTTATTCATAATTTTAAAAATATACATACCATAGACACATTGCTACATATTATTGCTTATTCCATCTAACTTAGCCATTTATGAAAGAACAGAAATTTTTTTGTGTTGGATATTGGTGATTTGTTGCTTGGCATAATGATTTTTGATTTACTCATATAAAGGAAAAGAAAACTACTTTCCCATTTCATAGTCTTGTTCATTTTCAGGTATCCTCAAGAAGATAGATTTAGGCATTCTAAATGAAACACTAACATTTTGAAGAATGGAAACCTTTCACAGAATTACTTCAGTGTCGTTTTTAAATGTATTGTCAAACCAGTAAGTTCTAGTCCTATAGTGTGGAGCATAAAAAGGCAGTATCTTATTCTTTTTAAAGCAAGTTGCACTTCTGGTTGTGATTAAGTGATTGGCATCTTGAGTCCTAACAGATAGAAATGTGGTATCTGCTTATTAATTATATGCTTGTTTTACAATATGAGGCTGCATTAAAACAGATATTGCACAAATTTTTTCTCGCCTGTTGCTCCCAACACACTGAGAACTTGATACATACATTCTTAAAATAGCAATTGGTGGTGCATAATAACTTGTGCATGTAAATAACTTTTGGGGTTTAATATAAGTAGTATTAGAATCCTGTTTCTCCCAGAGGAAAAACTATTGGAAAAATTCATACCTCAACAAACTTAAATATTCCTATAAATAACATACCACTATGTTCTGTACATCTCAGCATTTAGGGGAAAAGGACTTAGCACCAAAATCCTAATTATTTTTAGGTACTATATTACTTTGGAATTTCATCATTGAAGTGTTGCTGTTAGGTTTTTTAAAAAACTAAAAATTACATTCCCATCGCATCCATACTTAACTAGTCATTGCATCTTAGCCTAAGTTTTGTTTGTATAAATATACATATGTGATATACATATTTACACAAGTATAAATCAGTGGTTGAATTTGCTAAGCATTTATTAATCACTTCCTCTATGCCAGATACTGTGCTAAGCCCTAGGAACGCAGATAAAAATAAAACAGCCCTTGATGTAATGAAATTTACATTTTATTGGATAACAAAATAAGAAATTAATGTGAAAAATGTAAAACCTTTATCCAAATTTTTCTTTAGAGGTTTAACACCATGTTTTCTGTTCCCATTTCACTTAGGAGTAGAGCTCTACCTCAACACTCAACATTAACAAAATTCACTTTTAACATTCAGGACAGCGTAACTCTAGTTTATTAAAAAATGTAGAATCTTAATGTTCATCAGAAGATAAAATGGGTCAAAATGATTTATTTGTGAAAGATTTTTAGAATTTTGTTATTTTTAAACTACTTAGTAGCTTGGAAATGAGATTGTTTCCTGAGAAAAATCAGAAAAATGAAAAAAAAATCCAAACCCTGACTTAGCAGAAATTTGCTTATTTTGATTTCTAAAAACAAAGTTTAAAAGATTTAAACTTCTTAGAAGAAATAATAATGGAATAGTGTGAAATTTTCATTTAATTTTATGTGATAATAGACACAGATAATGGTAAATATTTGAGGGACCTGATTTTTTTTTTTTAACATTATATCCAGAGGAATGCTAAATAAGACTTTTGTGATCAGGTTCCTCTAAGGAGGGAAAGAAACATGATCCCAAATTTTTACTCCTTGAGGGTTTTTGTCGACTTCTCTTAGAAGAAAACAGTTCTCAAAATCTAGCAAAACTTCAGTTAGCATAGATTAACTTGATCTTTTGGAACATTAGAAATTAATATGCTTATGCTTGTTCTCTGTTAGATTGCAACTGATAATCATAAAGATATGTTGTCCCTAAACCAAAGTACCTAAAAGTAAAATAAAGCCTTAACCCTTATGATCTATCTCCATCTGTGCCCCTTAACATTTTATTTTTTTACTATGATTAACTTAATATCAAATGTTGAAATGAAACCATAACCTTTTAAAAAAATTAGTCGACAGAAGTTCATTTTCTGTTAATGTATTGGTGCCCAATATGTCATCAAAATGTTTGTTTCCTAACTAAAACAAAAGTATCCTGAGGTTCTTTCTGTAACTAAGAATTCACTTGTGCTGGCTCACTTCTATTTTCCAAATACTTATGGTCCTATAAATGCCTTCAAAAAAGGCTTCTTAATTCTTAAAGTTTTTTGAAAAATGAATTCAAATGATCCCCTTGTCATTTGACAAAAATACTCATGATTATCTTACATTATCACAAGGTTTGATTTGTGAATTTTACAGTAATTTATAAAGTAAATTATATAAAGAAAAAACTTAGAGGAAATAATCAGAATTATCACACATTTAGGGTGAGGGATCTTTACTCTCAAATTGTAGTTTTAATCGAAACATAAATGTGTTCCCACCAAATCTTACCATATAATTTCCAGAGGAGGGTCTCAAAACTTCTAGAATGCAAGTCTGATCCTAAAATGTAGCATAATAATCTACCTTTCATTAAATTTGTAAAACTTTGGCATTAAAATGAATACTTATCACAACTACCTAGGTTTAATTTCATGTTTTGGAAATTTGTCAATTCTGTCTGTATTTGATTTGTGAGTTTTATGTCCCTTCCAGTTTTGATATTCAATGATGCTGTGGTCATAGGGTCAAATTATATATTTTTTTAATATTCTAAATTGAGAGTAACATTGGGTGTATTATAGATATATATTTTCCCATTTACTGATGAAAAGGACAGGTCCATCTGTTGTTCTTGATGGTGAATTTTAACTTCTATCCTTCTGTTTTAGTATGTGTAATTATAGAACTGCTAATTTTCAGTTTCCACATGTGCAGCTTATCCAGAATAACCAGTAAATTGTCACACAAAAAAATTCTCACACTAATTGTTGATGTTCAATAAGAGAAAACAACTGCTTGGCTGAATTTTCATTTCAAACAGTTGTGGCATTGTGTAGACAGAGCCTTATTGTCCTATAATATAAATCCTTTTATTCTAACTTAAGTCTAGTCACGGTCTTTTGGGAACCTCACAAGATTGTTTGGCATTCCTCTGTACTAAAGAGTTTTACCTCTTGCCTTCTGTGTAAAAAATACTTCTTGCCTTATTTTATTAACATCCTCATGCTTACGTGAAAGTTCCTCTCAAAGTCAATTGTACCTTCAAACATGTTATTGTCCTGACATTCCACACTGTGCTGCCTTATGTGATTTAAAGTGAACTTTTATAACAGCTCCTTCCAACTGAAGATTAAAGAAGCAACTATCATTGTCAGAAAATGTGGAGGCTAATTTTAAGTGAATTTCAGTGTTTTCAGAGAGCTGTGAAAAACACCAAATTATGGCACACCATCTACTCTATTTTCTAAAGTGTCTCCCACTTTCAGTGAGAGTAATTTCAAATGTCAAAAGTTAGCTTAATTCTTAGCAGAGTAGTTTAAGTATGATATATCCCCCCAAAAAAAAATTGTCTTGAATTCAGATCTTGAAATGTTGATCAAAAGTTAGCCCTTTGTACCAGCAAACCTTTTTTTCTCCTATGAATGTTATGCCTTTCCAAAGTCTGATGCAAGGGTTAAGATATTTGTGCCTTTTTATAATAGCATAATGAAAAAAGAATTAAGCTGTTTATAGTTGCTTTGCAGCACTGTAAACTGCACAGATCTACAGCTATTGCTTCACTGCATGACATGTAGCTCGATTACTAGTGATGAAATATTGTAGTGATGGTTGCCAAGCTTATATGAATGGTTTGAAACTTTATTTTTACAGT